CTGCTCCGCCGGGCAGAGCTCAGCAGCCTCGAACGGCCGGAGCGGGGCTGGGGAGGGGAGGCACGGCCCCCCCGCTCCCTTATCGCTCCAGTTCCTCACCTGCTTGGGCACGTACGGCAGTCAGGGCTTGCTGCCAGCCCAGCTTTGTGCTGACAGCGATGTAAAACATTTCAGGCCAAGCAGCCTGGAAGAGCACAGACTTTGCTCCAGAGCCTGACTACAGCTCACCCAGTAAAAGAAGTGATCATAAACGGGCATTTCTATCTGATTCAGAAGGACCTGGGCAGGCGGAGCTCCTGGGTAATGGGCTGAAATCCACAGGGTTCCTTTATTGATGATTCCTAGGATTTCAGTCTCTTTTTCATTAAACGTCTGGTGAACATAAAGAAGAAAAACTGCAAATTCAGTGTCATTTATGCCCTCATTTACCTAATGATATTGCTCCCCGGAGATACAGACAGCTCGCATTTCATCAAGTGAAAGAGATTACGTCTTAAAAACTTGTTTCTGAGCATTGCAAACAGCACCGAGCCCTGCCCGCCAGGGACGGATGGAGCATCAATAACTGAAGTTTCTGAGCAGAGACATTTCCAGCGCCCGCAGGCAGCCCTGGAGCTGAGCCTCTAGGGAGGCAGAGGCGAAGGCGTGGAGAGGGTGTGGGCTTACCTCCGTGGCCTCAGGCCCACTCCCTTCACCGCAGAAAAGCCCCAGGAGGGACGCTCCAGAGTAGTGTGTGAGAACCTACCTGTCCTCACTCCGTATTTCAGCGTGTCCCGGCAGTCCACCAGGATCTGCTCCAGCGACTCAGGGTTGTCCGAGAGCTCCAGGTTGAAGCCCTCCATGCCCTCCAGGAGCTGGTGCGGGTGGTGGAAGTCCAGCACTTTGGTGGATCTGTCAAACGTCTTCTTCACGTAGTTGAGGAGGATGTCGACGACCTCCAGCAGGAACTGCATGGTCTGCTCCTCGCCATTCTTAGCGGGCAGCAAATCTGCGGGGCAAACCAGCTGTCAGCGCCTGCTTTGGGAGCGAGAGGCGGAGATGAACCAGCCCCGGCAACCCGCAGCCCAGGACCTGGAAGCCGCGGCGCCGGTGCAGCCCGGCTGTAGCGGGGCGGGCGCCCGGCCCCGGATCGCCCCGACCGCTCCTCGGCGAGTGAACCCGGCCGCCGCCCCCGGGGCCCCCCGCCCC